GGCCCGGGCCCTCACCGGGGCAGGGCTCGGGGCTGCAGCGCTGGGTCTGCATGTCGGGCCCCGCGCAGGCCCTGCCGCCGCTGGCGGGGCGCGGGTTGTCACACGCCCGGTACCGCCTCGTCTGGCCCCCGTTGCACGTCCGGCTGCAGGTTCCCCAGCTGCTCCAGGGGCCCCAGCTGCCATGAACTGCAACAAAAAGTCAGGTCTTACCTGTCTACCTCTTTGAACAGATGCTTAAAACCAGAGTCACGCCAGGAGAACATTCCTGTCGGGGACTAACCTGATTTCTTTCTCCAAAAAGAAAATAAAAATCCCCTGGCAATTAAAGATCTAAGAAAGTTGTCTTTTCCAGCATTCAGTGAGTACATTAACCAACTCCAGAGGCATCATCTGAGGAAAGCAGGCAGCACGAATTGCTAACCACAGGGGTCCCTGCGCTGCGGGAGTTCCCTGTGCGGGATTCGGACCGGAGAGCTGCAGATCTGCAGCCTCACCCAGAACACTTACCGGGGCAGGGATCGCTGTTGCAGAAATCCACCTGCATGTCGTTTCCTTCGCACTTGTGACCCCCGAACTGCGGGGCTGGGTCTGAGCACTGGCGCGTTCTCTGCCTGCTGCCTCCTCCGCAGGACACGGAGCAGGAGCTCCAGCTGCTCCACGCGGCCCATTTCCCATCCACTGGCGAGAAAGGCACAGTTACAGTCTCTGACATCAGAAGTAGCAAAGTAAATCAGGGCTGTACCAGGGTAACACTGCCTGCAGGATGTTACTGGCTCGCTATAGAACATCTCAGTTACAGAGGGGTTTCCACACAGGGATTTCCAGTAGGGAAACTAGAGAAAGGCACGACTTCAATCAACTTGCAAGTCTGACCAGAATCCATGGTCAGGGATCACCCAGACTTCAAGCTCAGCCACTCTCATGCCTTTGGTAACTGTAAGCAAGTCAAACTCTAGACAAGGTATTATCTGAAATCAGCACCCTGGGCAGATGGCCAGTTCAGGGGCCACCCCAAAACCCAGGCTTTTGTTATGTGCCCTCCTCTGCTTGCAGCTGCACTGTCTGAAGATGCAGCCATCGCCACCTTCTTCCCCCCTTTCCTAACCCACTTTGCTCAGCTGTTCATAGCAGTTATTACTAAATTGTCTCACGAGCCAGGTCTAAAGCATTTGAGGAACAGAGTCTTTGATCTCTCGAGACACGGTGACACAAACTGTTATGGGTACAGCCATGTGAACACCCGAGCTGGTGGCTAAGAAGCAGCCCCAGTCCCAGTCCAGCTGCAAGCACCAGCACCCCCAGCAGCAGGACATCAAGCCAGACAAACGTGGCAGCAGCTGAGGGCTCCACGTTGCACATGGTCAGTTCTTGTCTGGCAGTTGACAGCTGCAGCAGGACCCACTGCAGGCTCTGGCATGTGCAAAATGGAGCGTGAAGCCAGAAGGATCTAGTCTGAACATTCCCCTTCATGAAATGTCCCTTCATTACCCCTCAGCCAAACGCAAAGGTCGTATTTCAGAAATGTGGATTTTCCTACTCAGTCATGAAGGACTCCTTGAAATGTGGAGGAAAGGGATATATGAATAACAGAACCTAAGAACATTTTTTAAAGATATATTAAGGAAACCTGTGATTTAACTGCCAAGGATTTAAATTGCTGCTTTTGCACAGTAGCAGGGTAAAGGAAGAGAGACAAGGCCAGGGGAAGCAATCCCATATGTCAGGTCTATAGAGGGATGCTAAAGACAGTGACAAGCGCCAGGGAAAATAAAAGGCTCGAATGGAATTTTTTCAGCGACTACGCTCTGCGAACTGGAAAGGTTTTGCTATAAAACAAATAGAACTGGGAAAGGAGAAGTCTGCCATCGTTCCTTTCACGTCCGACACACCTTACCTGGGCAGTCCCTGTTGCTGCAAACCTGCACCTGGGCATCCAAGCCGGGGCAGGGGGAGCCGTGGTGGGACGGAGCCGGGTTGTTGCAGAGCCGCGCCCGGCTCTGGGTGCCCTTCCCGCAGGTCTCGCTGCACGGGCCCCAGGGCAGCCAGGAGCTCCACTCCCCATCCACTGCAAAGGCAGCACAGCTGTAAAACTGCTTCAGCTTGGAATGACAGCTCCACAGCCCCCAGCAAAAAAAGCTACCTTCTTCAGTATCAATAAATGAAATGTCCTGAACAAGCCCTTGAAAAAAAAACCTTCCCCTTGAGCAACAGCTGAAACACATCAACAGCTTCCAAAGAGAGATTAATTCTTTCCTTCTTGTTTTTGGAACACACCACTTCACCACAATCTTGGAATAACAGAACTGAACGCTTGATTAAATCTGGTGTTTCCCCAAGTTCCCTGGCCCTGTCCATCCTGGGCTGAAGGTCCCAGCAGAGGACAGGACACACCAGCTAGCAGCTGGCACACGGCTGGTGCCTGCCAGCAAGTGGGAGCCAGGACTCACATTGCCACTAAGACCTAGAGGAATGAGTCTCAGGCTGGTGGGTGAACATTTGGCATTGTGGTGGTAGCAGAGCCAGGGAAAAAGGGAAAAACAACATAACAAAACTTTTCTATGAGGAAACATGCCAGTGGTGAAGGGTTATGAATGAATTACAACTTGTTCAACACAGGAAGTACCACCAAGACAGAAAGGAACCCTGAACATTCAGCTGGTTAGAAGAAAAGTGTGGCTGAAAATTAAAACAACAGAGAAAGATATAAAGATAATGTCTTAAATTATTAATTATAATGGTTTACATACCTTTTCAATTGCTAGTGGTTTGGGTTTTTTTTAAATTTTAATTGACTCAGCAGAACGAGTTTAGAGTAGGGAGTTTCACTGTGTGAGTACATAGGTAACAAGTACTGGAAAACATCAACTTTTTATTTGGGTTAAAAAAAAAAAAAAGATAAATTGCTGACAATACTCCTTGCACTTACTTTGTAGCTTCTGTTTCCAAGAACTACTGCCATTGAATACATTACACACCATTTTAAAACAAAACAACTGGGAGCTTAATTCTTCTCTAATTTCAAACAAGCTGAGAAAATTTGGGTCTGGAGAACAAAATAAACCTACATGGGAAGCTCCTCGTGCAACTAATTTTAAGCCACTCTTCTCTTACCTGGGCAAGGCCTGATATTACACATGATGGAGTCCACAGGGCTGCCATCACAGGGCTTCCCGCCGTGCTGGGCGGGGGGGTTGCTGCAGCTCCTGCTTCGGGTCCTGTTGCCTTGTCCACAGCTCTTGGAACATTCCTCCCATAACCCCCACTCCGACCAGTTGCCATCCACTATGAAACAGAAAACCCCACAGTTTTAATATTAAGTATCTTTGTGGTATTTATTTCCATCAGAGTCAGAACGAACTCCAAGTTCTTAGAAAAATTCATCTGTCATGAAGAAGCTGGTGCTGATGGTTCCCTCCCAGGCACTTCAGGCAGGGCAGCTCCCTGTGACAGTGACTTGTACCTGGGCAGGGCTGGTTGTGGCAGCTCCTCATGTCCGTCTCCGGCCCCTCGCAGCTCCTCCCGCCGTTGGCCGGCAGCGGGTTGTTGCACTGCCGGACGCGCTCCTGAACACCTTGCCCACAGGTGACGCTGCACGCCCGCCATTCCAGCCAGTCAGAAAACCCACCGTGCACTGCAATGGGAAAAAGAGCCTGTCTGTAACGCGCTGCAGCTTGGAACCCTCTCAGATCCATCCAGCAAAATGAAAAACGTACCTCATACGCCATCCTTGGAAACCCACCTCACCTCATATCTGCATTACTGCAGACGTCAGAGACTACACGAGCTGCTCTGCAGCAGCCATTGCTTATCCTCCCAAATGCTCTTTAGAGGCACAGTTAAGTTACGCTGTGTGTGTTCTGAGGATGGGACCTGATTCAAGACCCTCTCATTATTATTTCTGTCTCACACTCCTTCTCACCCATCCATCTCAGACAGCTGGAAGAGTGTAAGGGAACATAATTTCACTAAACAGAAACCCACTGACATCTCAGACTGGGCTTAACACACCCACAGTGTGTATATGGAAAACAAGATCTTACCCATAAACCATGGTAAGATAAAGTCTTGATCACACCTAACCTCAACTAATGCTCTAATCTACCAGTCTGATGGTTGCTGTCCTGTACCTCGTGCACCTACCCTGGACAGTCAGAGGCACCCTGACAAGAACAGATCCCAGCAGGTTCCTCGCCACGCACTCGTACTCAGACGTGTCTTCCTTCTGTGCCGCCACGAGGCGCAAGGAGCCGTTGGACAGGATGGTCACTCGCTCGTCACCCACAACTGGGAGACCCTGGCGGGACCACTTGATGGTTGGAAGGGGCTCTCCATGTGCCTGGCAGTTCAGCACTGCTGTGGCACCAGCTTCAATCACTGTCTCCACAGGTTCAACAGTAATGACTGGAGGACCTGAAAGACAAAGGGCTCTTCAGGCACACAGTGACAGTTTTTGTGTTGAATATTAAAGGTCAGGTCAGAATGAGGGCAAAAAAACATCCTGAGTGAGTTTACTTTGACTAAAGTTATTACTGTTGATGTGAAAATATATAAAGGTTAAATTAACAATTATAGGCTTTTTTTAATATGCAGCAATCTGAGGACCAAAGTTAGAACTGAGGCCTGACTAGAAGAGCACACAGTCATCTTGCTAAAATGTGTTGCTTTTCACAAAACCTGCAGAAATTCATCTGTCATGATGAATCCTGTCCTACTAATCCTGTCCAGAGACAAGTGAGACATGTCACAGATCCACACTGCTTCAGGTGACAGTAAAAAGGGATGTTCAGAAATTCTACAACCAGTGAAAAAATAATTCTACAATATTATTTCTGACAAAAAGAAAATGTCATCAGTAAAAGCAGGGATTCATGTCGTGTAACTTTCTTCATTTAGAAGTTAAAGAGTCTCATTTACTCCAGCTGTACAGATATCCACTCTAATCAGAGAAACAGGCCCTTTCAGGAAGGTGCTTCACCCCACCCCAAGTTGGTTTCTAAGTTGAGGCTGAATCATCCTCTATTGCTCCTCTTCTCTGTCCTCTATCACTACATTACACTAACTAGACTCTTAAATATTAACGATGACAGACAAGATGAATATTCAGCTACAGTGCAGTGTCCAGCCTCCAAAAGTTCCATGGGAGCTGCACACATCTACCCACAGGTAGGTTATTGCTCCAATCTACAAACATTAAGGGTACCACTTTGAGCCTTACTCTGCAGTGTCAGTGTCAGGCTGCGTTCCACCACGCCAGCATCGTTGGTAGCCACACACTTGTAGTCACCAGCATCTTCATTCTAAAGAATAACAAGCAAATACTCAACATGTATGTAATGAGGGTTTCTGTGGACAGAGCCCCTCCTGGGAGTGAATTTTCTGCACCACAACTGGGCACACCCTGGATCTTCAGAGGCAAGACATATATCAACATTTTCCCTTAACTAACATTAATCTGATATTGTGAATTATTTTTATTATTCCATTTCTTTCCTTCAACTCCTTAATGCTGAGGATCAGATTTTTTTTCTAAAACTTGAACAAACTCAAGTGATCTATTGTTTTTTATCTTATTTCAAAAGGGTGGCATGAGTTTATGTGGGTAGAAAAAGGGTCTTGCCATTCCCATTAGAAATTTTGATGCTAAGAGATTTGCACATGGAGAAATTGCTTTTCAGCTGACCTGACCGTGTAAGAACCCAGGTTCTTTTAAGGCCAAACAAAACTAATTTACTTGGGCATGACCAGGATTTTGCACACTAAAAGTTAGTGTGTAGGTTCAGTCCTTCTGGCAATTAAAAACACCCCCTCGGGGTTTTTTTGTCACAATAATTTTAGCCTAATTCTAATCTGAATTAAAACAACATTTGTCAAAGGTAAAAGCAGAAGTGGATTAAATGTCCAGCCTCACCCTTTTAAAACAATACAATCTGGAGCACTTTTAGAATTCAAGTACAATGCAGGAGTGCATTGGACCTGGCCAGGGACTCACCACAGTGCCATAGATAGCAAGAGAACCGTTGTTGAGCTGTCGGATCCTGCTGTTACTCTGAACACCAACTCCTTTTTTGCTCCACTGGATAGTTGGAGGTGGATCTCCTCTGACTTCACAATTCAACATAGCATTGCCACCCAAGGGCTCAATCCGGCTAGAGTGGTAATCCCCTTTGAAGACTGGAGGTTCTGAAAAAAATAAGTGATTGCAGAACAACATCAGAGTCAAAATAAAATGCCCTTAATGATAATTGCTGGTAGAGATCACTCATCTCTGACTTTGTGAACTGAGAATTTCAACCTGGTTCCATTTTTCTCTCTTTAGTCAAGGTAGACGAGGTATCAAATACTAAGGGCAACACTTTCAAACTGGAAGAGGGGAGATTTATGTTGGATGCTCGGAAGAAATTCCTTCCTGTGAGGGTGGCTGAGACATTGGCCCAGGTTGCTCAAGGAAATTGTGGCTGCCCCATCCCTGGCAGTGTTGAAGGGCAGGTTGGATGGGGCTTGGAGCAACCTGGGCTGGTGGGAGGTGTCCCTGCCCATGCAGGGGGGTTGGGATTAGATCTTTTTAAGGTCGCCTCCAACCCAAACCAGTCTGGGATTGTATTGTCAAAGCCAATGACTGTGGAAATTGTCCAGTAGTGACCACAACTACAATTATTTTACGTACCTTTGACGTACACAAAACCAATAGCTTTGATTGAGCCAACTGTGTTTTCTGCTGTGCATACATAGGTACCAGAGTCATCTTTAGATACTCTTTCGATAACAAGTTCACTGTGTCCATTGACATCATCATATTGCACTGCAGGGAAACACACAGTAAAGAGTCACTTCAACAACTTGAAACATCTACATCTCCATGTCTCATATGCCCATAGTTTGGAGTGGCATTCAGCAACCCACCATGCCACTCATGTCTGGGACCCCTCAGAAATGCAGAGAAGTCACTGCCACAACATCTACCCACAAGCATGTATTCACTTAACTTGTCCCTTAATTTTGAGCTTTGTGCAGCTGCATTCTATGAACTGCTGAGTTTTCCTTCGTGTTTAAGAGAAGTAGCATTAGTTATTGGATGCTGTGTCAATATCATCACATACTGAATATTACTCATGAGTCACACTACTGGCCACACATGAGGAACAATTTCTTAATTATCTTCCTCACAGCTTTGTCTCAGATTCAATTTAATTACATGACTGCACAATACTGAAGATACTCCCCACACCATCACTGCCTAACAAGTTTGTTCCCTCTAGATTTTTTTCGTTCCTTATCCTAAGCTAATTGCAGTGCTGTGTGAGAGAAAACACCTAGAGCAGAATGGCCAGTAAGACCTAGTGTTACCCACCTGGAATGATGTTATTGTTAAAGGTCCATGTTATTTTGGGCACAGGTATCCCTGTTGCTTTGCAAGTCAGTTTGAGCTGCTCTCCTTTAGTCAAAGCTACATCTCCAGGCAGCTCAGTAAAAGCTGGAAGCACATGAACTACCAGGGTGATGGTGTGGGTGTCTTCCCCAGCAGCATTGCTGGCAATACAGGTGTAACTGCCAGAATCTTCAGGCTGAAAGAAAGCACGTTGGGGCGATTTCAGCTGTGATACATACACAACACTACCACTTGAAATTATAAAGGAATCTCCAAAGGTTTGGAACACGTGTTCAGTAGAAATGCTCATCTGAATGCCTGCACTTCCTCTTCATCTGAAAGGTGACCTACACTGCTTTTTTTGCCCTTCCTGAGCATTTATCCCTATCAATTTTTCACATATATTTTACTCCTCAGTGGAAAACAAAACATTTATGAAGACTTTGAAACATTAAGAACAGGAAAACAAAATAAAATGAAGACTAATCCAGAAGTGGGTGAAAACAAAGAGAAGCCGGGCTTTTTACTGCCAAGCCTGCCGAGTGATAGCTTAGACTTAGGGAACTTACAACAACACTGTCCAAAACGAGATGTCCATCTGGCATAGCCTGGTATTTTCCTCCTTTCTCTGTTAACAGGGTATTGTCCTTCTTCCATTTAACTGTGGGTGTTGGAATCCCCTCAGCCACACAGGACAGAACAGCCTGGGAGTCCTCCGTGACCGCGTACTGTGCCTCTGTGCCGCGAATCTTGGGTGGAACTGTGAGAAGGTTTATTAAGAAGATTAACCTCTGTGTATTACTCAAGCACTACTATAAAAGCACACAATGCTGAAGAAACCATTGCCCAGATCTTCTACATTGCTCCTTGTTCTCCATCAGTGACCAACACTACACATGCCAGAGCAATGAGTGAAACACTTGTAACAAAGTTAAGGAAATACAAAATTTGTCCTAAATTAAAGCAACTGGCTGATACTATAGCCCAATGAAACTCACCCACTAAGTAGCCCAATTTTCCTGATCTTAGACCCCGACTCCTGACCCTCCACAGGGTCAGGAGAACACAGTGTCTCCGTGCAGTCCCACTTACTGTGCACAGTGAGCTCCACGCTGGCAGTGCTGGACCCAGCCAGGTTTGCTGCTATGCACGTGTACTGGCCAGCATCGCCGGGCTGCACAAACACGATCTGCAGTCCTCCAGTGCTAAGAACTCTTCTTCTAATGGACTCTGTTATTTGCTGTCCATCTTTGTGCCAACTGACTTCTGGAGCAGGGTAGCCCTCAGCCTCACACTGCAGAGTGACAGACTGATCAACAGGAACAACATATTCCTTGACGTGAGACTTGATAACAGGAGGAACTGAAAGATTGGAGAAAAATTTTAAAAGACTTAAAATGTTGTAAGAAACATAGAATGTTTCAGTTCTTAGGGAAAATAATCCTAAAAGCATATTTTGATCCTGAAGTACAAGTAAAGGGAATAAGCCTCCAGGGCTCTATTCAGTTTCACATCAGAAAGGAAAGGATTAGGCTCATTTTTGTTGCTCAGAATTGTGCTTTGATTAACAGAAAGCAAGTGCAGATTTCTTGTCTGTAAATCACTACAAGAGTTTAAGAGATTATTTACCTTGAACTTTCAATCTGATCTTCCCCAGAGCAGTGCCAGCTGGATTTTGAGCAATACACATGTAAGTGCCAGCATCTTCAACAGTTGATTTTGCAATCTGTAAACTGCCACTTGGAAGGACCATGTAACTGTCACCTGAAACAAATATAAAAAAGGATGGCACTTTGGTATTGTTTTTTGTTTTAAAATGAATGGGTTGCTTATATCCAAGTCTGAACATTCAGAAAAGAGAAAATAAGCTTCTGAGTCACAGCAAGTAGGCTGGAGCTTTAGGAGGATACCTGCTGTGATGACATTGATGCCCTCCTTTTGCCATGTTATGATGGGCCATGGTGTGCCCGTGGCCTTGCAGGGCAGTAGAATGGGATTGTTCACAATGACATCCAGCACCCCTGGCTGAGTCTGGATAACTGGTGGTTCTGTGGCATGAAAAAAAAAAAAAAAAAAAGGAAAAGGCAACAAGTTTAATCTTCCAAGCTAGAAAACAGAGAAGATACTGAACCTCTCATAACCTGGAAGTCTAAGAGGGCTGAGCTGGCAACGGGCTGTGTTCTGCCATCCTTCCGAAGAGCTCAGTGGAGCTGCTTTTCAACATGCTCAGTGTGAGTATGGGTACAGAATATGGCCTTACTCCATGCAATTTGCCATCAGATACATAGTAACTTCCCAAAGAGCAACGAAACAAAAGACCTTGTAAAGCAGAGCAGCATGGACTGGGGGGCTCAACCCAAGGTATCAGGGTTATTAAACCTGCAGAGTGCAGTGACTGTGTGAATAACCCACAGGCCAGTTCCGCTGAGCCAGACACTACCTGTGATGGTGCCCTCTGGCTTCAGCATTACTCTGTTTGCACTGAAGGGCAAGGTTTGCTGCCAGAAGACCCCTTCCCAGCCTGCCCTTACCCTGCACGGTGAGCGTGGCGTGCCGGTGCGCGGTGCCCGCGGCGTTGCGGGCCAGGCAGGTGTACCGGCCCGCGTGCGCCAGCTCCGCCGCTGTGATTTCAACAGCACCTGCAGCAGAGAGAGCGCGTCACAACACACAGCAGCCTGCATCCAGAGGGCCACTGCCTGCAGCATCCACCTGAAGGGGGCTGGGATTTTATTCCGAGAAACTGGAGCAGGCCTGTTTGGAGGACTGTGGGCAGTTATTAAATAACCACTTCCAGCTGAGCACGACTGCACCCTTTTCCTGACTTCTGCAGCCAAGCTCCAGTCACGCATGTTACCTGAAGAGAGAATTCTGTAGCCATCTCCTCTGGGAAGCAGCTTGATGCCATTTTTGGTCCAATGAACAGAGGGGACAGGAACCCCAGATGCGGTGCAGGAAATCACTACTGGAGACAGCTTTGTGACCAAAAGGTCTGTGGCCTCATCTGCTATGGATGGGGGCACTAAAAGTGAAGATCAGAGTAAAGGTTACCTGTCCATTTTCATTTTTAGAAATTCTTGGAAATAACTTTTCTTTCTTGGGAATACCAGAGACTTACGGGTATCAGTATCATAAAAGAATGATATAAAACCATCTCATCTTAACATTAGAACACCCCAAGGAAATTCTGGGTGCCACACACATAACAGCAATTTCCCCTCTACCTTGAACAGTGAGTTCAATTGCTCTTTGATCTTCTCCTGCATCATTTGATGCAGAGCACTCGTAGACAGCAGTGTCATCCACAGTGGGAGAAATGATCACTAAGGAACCTGAAGATAGAAGTCTGAACAAAGAAAAGAAGAAAGTAAAGGCCACTGAAATACTACTGTTCTTCTCAAGCAATCCAACCACTGACTTTGCTGGCTATATAAGATGACATTTATTTAAAGTGCCAAAATCATCCCTGAAAACTTTAAACCCACACTGAAAACAAAACATCTCTCACCTGTATGTATTCTGGTTCTGGTCAACACTAAGCAAATGCCCATTCTTCTTCCAGCTAATTGCTGGTCTGGGGATTCCAGTGGTTTCACAAGGCAGAGTGGTCTGCACATTTACAGTAACTGTAATATTTGTATGTCCAGGAGCAATAGTTGGAGGAACTAAGGACAAACAAAGCCTTATTATTCAGAATAATAATACACATATGTCCATGCACCCCCTTCACAGCTATAGAGAGCTGAACTGTCTGAATATGTGCTTGATTTTTATAAAGAGTAACCTGACAGCAGTAAACTTACAAAACATGAAGCATGGGATCTGTCAAGTCTCTTTAGTTTCAGTGCACAAAGAATAAGTTTTTTCTTGTCATGAACATTTGAGTTGTATTCCTAAAACTGTAAATGTTGTTTTGGTTTTTTCACCAATGTAGCTAGAAAGGGGCCAAACTTAAAACTGGATCTGGCAGGACAAGAAAAATTATATAACTGGACTTCAAACTTGAAAACCCCACATATTTGTCTAAAACTGAAAGTTTTACCAAGAACCTGCAGATCAATTCGTTTGCGTTCAGTGCCAGCTGAATTGGTTGCCATACACACATATCTTCCTGTGTCAGTAACGTGTGCTGAGTGGATGTGTAGAGATCCATCCTCTAACATGGAGTATCTGAAACAAAGCCATAGAATTTTTCCTACTTTCCCATCAATAGAGCCACAGGCTACCCTGGTAATGCAAAAGGAAACAATGACTCAGGGTACACAACAAACAACCTGAACACGTGGTGTCTTAATGTGGTTTTCTCACTTATGGTATTTATTCTGACTTCACTCTTAAAAAAAATCTTTCCCAGCAAGTCCGTTTTTCAGAGAAATTATGAAATCTAGGTGACATAATTCCAGAAAAATCATGACAGATTTGCAGAAAATATCCAAAATCCCTTCTTTATGATCTCTCATTTAACCTTAAAAAATCCTAATTAGTAAAAATTTATACTAGAACATGTATAGGAAGCTTTCCGTATTAGAAACAAGAGTACACTCAAGTAGCTTCTGGCCTCATGAAATTGCTTGGCCTTATCCCAAAATGTCATGTATATATAAAAATTCAAAGACATTTCATGTTGAGTCTTCAAATTCTTTGATATCAGAAGAATTATTATTATATTTGGTTGTCAAAGTAGTTTTTTGTCCTTCTTAACGATAAAAGGATGAAATCTTTGGTACTGCTACTTCTCTGTAGAACAACTTCTTTACATCACTGTTTCTATGACCATATTACAGTTGGGCCTACTGAGGGTGACAGTACAAATACTAGTTCTGATCTGTGAAAACAAAACTAGTGCATAAGTTACGTATGTCTAATTAAGCTTTCTGTAATTAATACATCCTTTGAAAACCCAAGAATATTTATGCTGACTTCTGGACAATACCTTGTGTTGTTTCCAGTAAAAATAGCCCCATCCTTCCTCCACGTAATCCTGGGGGCTGGGACTCCTTCTGCAGCACATTCCAGAACAGCAGAAGCATTTATATGCACCACAGCAGCCTGGGGACTGCTTCGGATTGTAGGAGCCACTGCGAAAGGAAGAACTGCTGATGATTTAAGAAAACAGCTTCAAGTTGCAATGACTTGAAATTGAGCACATGAAAACAGATGCAGGAAGAGCTAAAGGGATGAATGCCACGACAGAAACAATTTCTTACCATTTTGTGGTGCACAATAATTGCCATGATGCAGCAGGGAATGAAAAAGAAAGTTTGTCTGAAATGTACTGTAAAGAGCATCTCTGCAAGTTACCACAAAGGTCATCGTATAGCTAAAACAATAAAAGGGCTCAGCATATTTAATTCAGCAAAATCAGGCTGTAGTGATAGCCTTGCTTCCTATTTATCAATTAAAGAGAACACAGAATTCTAATTGGAGGAGTGCTAATCAGCAGGGACACAGTGTGAGGCAGGTATCTGACTGGGTTGTGAAGAGAACTGAAACAAAGTTTCCTGTCATCACCCGTGTGGTGAACACGGTGTGAGAACAGAGTATTTTCTCGTCAGACTACAGGTAAGAAAATAACTGGGTTTAAAATAAAATGGTAGTGCAGGACAGGCATGGGCATGCACAGGGTCCTTCAGGAATGGTTTGGGTTGGAAGTGACTTGCTGTGGGCAGGCACACCTCCCACTAGATCAGGCTGCCCAAAGCTCCATCACGACCAGTCTTCCCACCAGCTCCTGCTTATAGATGCAGAGAAGCAGCCACGGTTTTCAAGTAACTTGCAAAACTGGTGGACAAGCCAGCTATGAAACTTAGTCCCCAAGATGCTGGTCAAATGCTTTGAAGAATTTCTCTGCTCAAGAGCATCCCTCAGTCCTGGATCTGGTGTTCATTCTAGGCATGTCCTGACTCTGTATCGGGATGATGGCTAGATGCACAGCGGCAGAAAGCACAGGCAGATGGAGAAAGAGTCCTAGGGAGTCCCCAGATCACCCTTTAGTGTGGGTCACAATTGTGGACTCAGATGGTGACACAGGAGGCAATGCATATGGTGCCCCAGTTTAGAAACAGGCAAAGCGGCCAAGGCTTGGCTAGAAAGAGACTACTAACACCACTTCTTGCCCTGTCAACTCCTGCAGATAGGCACCCAAAGATCACAACACACAGATGACTGGAGCCATGATTTTACCATGTACAGTCAGCAGGACCTCCCTGGTCACTCTTCCTGCCACGTTGCTGGCCACGCAGGTGTAGGTCGCTGTGTCGCTGAGCTCAGCGTTGTTGATCTGCAGGTACCGCCCGCTGGACAGGATTCGAACTCGGGGACTTCCCTGAGGGGAAAGAGAGAGAGTTGGACAAATTTACCTTTGCCATTGTTCTCTTGATGAAGGTAGAACATTTTTTCGTTGCAGAGTAATCAAAGCCATGAAGGAAAGCCAAAGATAAACCAGGGACTGAATTTGTTGCTGGCTTAACTTTGTTCACATCCACGAAGAGGGTAAATAATGTTTTACAAAATTATCCCTGCTTAACAGTTCCCCTGGAAGCCCCTACTGGGACCTGTGCCTGAACCAGACAGCTTTTTGAGTTACACAGCCAAGGGGCTTTTGAATTTTTATGGAAAGAGGAAGCTAATAGCACACCATGAATTTACTGATGTTTTTTAAAATCCGTGCACGCTACAGGCAGAAGAAATGCAAGTTTCTCTACAGAGCCTTGATCAGGTGGGATCCAGCATAAACTTAGCCTACAAAGTTCAGCAGCCAACATTTCTGAATAGGCAGCCTACACTCTTCCCAGCTCTGCAAGGACTCCACAGCACCTGCTGGGTAGCCACTTGGAGTCAAAGCTTTTTGACCACAACCAGTCTGGATCAGATCTGCATGAATGACTGACAGTAACATCAACTACAAGTGTCCAAAAACCTAACTGGATAAAAAAAACCACCCCAAACAACCCCAAAACAACAGAAAAAGGAAAGAAACTCAAACTTTTCCAATATGTGCTTCCCACACTTTGGATGAAATTGAACACTGACATCTACTCCTCTGGCTAGAAGATCTCTGGGCAACAACTACAACCCACAGGTGAACTCCTCCAGTTCTGCACCAGGACCCCAGGGTGCAGGTCCCATCCTGAGCACCCACTCAGCAAGTCCACCAGTGGCAGCTGAAGAGCAGTGCTAGAGCCTCAGAGGAGAAATTATTCACCAGCAGAGTGCACTACAGACAGTCAGATTTGGGGGGTAGTTCCTGTGAGTTCCTACACAGTCTATGCTATGGTTTCTAAACACAGAAGCATATTGACCACACAAGGCAGGGGGTTAAGCTGTCCCTTTCACCCTTATGCTCTGCTCAACCTATGTCAGAAAATCCATCTTTGAAAAAACAGAAATTCAGCAATTCTTGTAGTGTTTAAATAGAGCCAGACTGGGTCAAGATGCTCCTACCTACCTCTTTTAACACTCAATGTGCATTTCCAAGTAAGTGAAGAGTGCACTCCAGAACTACTAGAGGCTAGATCTATCTCTAGTTCTGCTACCAGCAATGGTGGGGCTGCACACTTACAACATGAAGCATGGTCTAGAGCAGACCTCAAAATCTGCACAGTGGGAGAAAACAGAACCAGGAGGAATGACACCCTCCACCACAAGGCTGTTTCTAAAAAAGCAGTAAGGACTAAAATTGAAGTAATGAGGAAATCCTAACTTTCTCCAGAACTCTCTTCTTACTGTGAAACCTCATTTTGCCAACATAAGGAGGATCATATGGCACAGAGCACCTCTTTCCACACTCAAGGAGAGGTCTTTCCCAGCTTCTTACTATTGCAGGCTATTCCATTTATTTGAGGTTGAGAAAGCAACCAGGCATTCAGGAGGACTCTAATGTTTTCTTAATATCTGGAGTATGTATTTATACAAGCCAAGCTGAAGAATTGAAAGGATGGTAGGAGAGAATAAACCTAAGTCTGCAGCTTCAAGTACATGTGACAAATGTAGTCCTGCATCTGTACTGCATTTATACCCTACATTCAGTGCTGGAAGAGAGCTAACTCTGGAGATTGGCAGCCCCTACTCTCTATCACAAATCAGACGGCAGGGGACTGACCATACTGCACAACAAAGAGGAGAACCAATATTACAAAAGTTAACTCCCAGGTTTTCAGCTGAGTATCTGTGTCTGTCACAGTGTTCCTCTATTGTTTTGGCTTCTGGTAAATAGTTGGTACTAGTGGGTTCTTTTCATAGTTTATTTTTGTTAAGTACTGCCTTGAAAACACAAGCTTTCCAAGAAAAAAAAAATTCACATCCTTAACTTCCAAGCCTTGTTCAATCTTGCTTTCATTTAGAAAAGAATCACTACCCAAATAAAGAACTGACCATTCAGAAGAGTGTTTCTCCTGCACTTGTCTCTAGCTAGTTCTTGGGTTATAGTCAAGGTGACACTCCACAGTAGCACTTATAACCAGCCCCCCAAATTCTTACTTATCCCACTGACATTTCATTCTTCCAAGTACGGCATGTCAGAAGGAAAGCTCACAAGCAGAACTTTGGGGACTGCAGTTAAGGGAGACAATTCATAAGCTGGATTTGAATGAATAAAGATCAATTGAGAGAAAATTCTAAATTAAGTTACATTAACAACTGAACTTAAATTGTTCCAATGGAAAGCACCTGGGTTCTAAGTGATCGCAAGAAACGGGATGTGAAGTAAAAATTCTTTCTGTATAAACCCTCCTCATCTTGCTCATTGTCTCTCAACCAGCAAAGACTCAATGCCTTAACATGACACTATGTGGAAATCTGAGGGAAGAAGATGCATTTGATACCAAAGTGTGGTGATTAGCAACCCATTTTCTTTTTTCCAGTGCAAAGAATTGTAATTCCTTTCTAAATGCTACTAGATTATGAGGATGCATAATATACCCAAAGGAAACACATAGTCTTTTCTCAGCTACCTTTCCTGGGAAGCCATTCAGGAGTATACCGAAGGCTTCTAGCATTGCTCAGAGGATCCAGGAGGAGCAAGGGATCCCCCTAAAGGAAAAAAGAACAAGTAACAGCGGGATGGCCACTTCACATGCTTGCTAGCTTCAGGCACTCAGTTAGGACTAACTGTATTTTGATGGGGCTACTCAGCTTCTCTTCAAGGCACCATAACTTGGACTGCACTGAAGGGGCAAGTGAGCAGAATAAGAAACCTCAAGCACTGTGTGTAAAAAAATAAAGGGAGCAAAAGACTACTACAGATGATGTAACCACTGTACCTCTAGGAGTTCTTCATTTTTAAGCCATGAGATTGTTGGAGGTGGCACAGCATCAGACTTGCACTCCAGGAGAACTTGTCTGTTCTGCAGCACAGTGACATCCTGTGGGCCACTGGTACCAGCAATGTTAGGAGGAACTGTTACAAAAATGAAGAAAAAATTCAACATCACACATATGAGCTACCATTAAAATTACTCCTTGAAAATTTCCCATATATTTCTTAAGTTTAAAATTAATGCAAAGCTATGGTACCATTCATTGGTTCTGTTTTTCAATACCCATGTTAAATACATCACATTTCCTTAACTGCGGAACCTGTTCCCTAAGTCACAGGCTGGAAACTACAGCCTGTGACAGAAATTAATTTCAAGTCCATTCTTTAAATGTAACAGCATTTAAGCCAGATGGAGCAGATATCAGCAAAGTTCCATGAAAGTTTCATCAATAAACATGGAAGTTATAACCTTCAAGGAGAAACCCAAGGTATACTCTGGAACTGCTGAAGGCCCATTTATCATGTCATTACATTTTATATATCTGTCTCTAAAAACATGTCTTACCTTTTTCTACTGGAAAACTAAGGTGCTCACAGATACCAGTAGAGTTCACATCCTTTGCCAGTAAGCAAAATAAACTCAATCCGCTTGAATACTGATATCTGTAACCTTCCTAGATATTCAAAATATAAAACTTGGAATTGTAAGTCACATCAGTTGCATCTGATGGAACTTTCTCTTTTAATTGTGTATCCCGTTCAGAATAGTTACCCTTATTCAGAAATGTTAATTATGATCATCTGGCATAATATACTTTCTCAAAACACATACTATTTCTTCTTTAGTAAAACGTAACTTGTTAAATGAAATATTGATATGTACCTTAGTTTACAGTTTGAAGGAGAAATTCTTTTTCCTAAATCAAACTTACCATGCACTCTTACTAAATATTCCTTATCATCATCTCCTGCTGGGCTAGATGCCAAACATGTGTATCTTCCTGTGTCCTCCACCTAGAAACACAGGAACAATTTCAGCAGCATCCTCAGAATATGGGAACATGCAAGACAGACACTGACAGCACCATGCAACAGGCAGCACTTAAAATCCAACATAAGAGATAAGGAATGTCCAAAAATAATGAAGCTCTTGAAAACATCTATATTTTAACATGGTGGGATTGTACAGACATGGTTCAGAGGAATCTCCCCAGATAATGTGTCTCCAGCCAGAACCCTTCTCTTTGTGACGCGTTTTGCAACAGGCAATTAATAACGATGGACCTGGCTGTAGGGATCCCAGCAAGGGTCAGTCCTGGGTACTGAGAAAATCTTCTTGTGCACACATAGTCATTGATACTTTTTCTAATGTTTCCTACCTGTGAACTCTTCATTGTAAAGACAAGAAGTGTTTGCCTTACAAACAGAATGAGCAGCAGATCCCAGCCCTGTCCCACTTCTGTGTTGAGCTTCAGCCTGGCTGTCCTCAGAACTAGTTTATCAGTGCAGGTTCATAAAGGTTATTTTCCCCTGGACTCTTTCATTGTCAGAATTAACCTGCAAGTCATTCTATTGTCTTTTTGTTCTTTTTTACTTTGCACACAGATGACTGCAAATGCAGCTTTTCTACTCACCTATGAGAAGCAAATGAGTATTAGGAAAATCGGAGCTAATGGAAAGAGAAGACAGACTGGGTAGGAACTATGAAACGTGGCAGAAGAAAAGCAAGAGACAGTAACAAGAGTCAACTAGGTATGAAATGAACAAGAACAGATTACAGATACAGACTAAAACTGGAGATAAATGCAGAAAAAGCACTGATTGCTCTGTTTTGCATTGAGAAGTACCAATAAATTAAAAATGACAGAACTCTAAAATGAGCCTGAAGTAATAATGAACAGAAGAGACAGAAGCACTGGGGCACTCTCAACCCACAACACTACTGCTGGTTCCCAATGGGAAACTCCAGGGCAAGGCCTGAAAAACACATCCTGCAGCTGCAACTGCAGGTGGATGATTTATGTCCTAATTTTAGGACATCTCTTTGGATGGTCAGTTCTGTGCACTCCCGTAGGGTTTGCAAAACTGAGCCTGTTAGGAAACAAACACTTGACCTGGGCACTGGTTATTTGAAGACCCTCTCTTAGGACATGAACATTGTCGCTCTCCAGAAGTGGGCGCCCGTCCTTCATCCATGAGATTCTGGGGACTGGAATGCCAGAAGAGATGCAGAGAAGTTCAAGAGGGTTGTTAACGATGACAGAGAGCTCTTCTGGTTGCTCTGAGCCATTGATGTGAGGTGGTGCTGTGGAAGGAAAAACATTTGAGTTCTTTATTGACTCAAAAAGCCTCTAAATCCTGATAGAGAATCACTGAATCAGGTCATCAAGTCCAACCATCAACCCAGCCCTGCCAAGGCCACCACTAAACTCTGTCCCTCAGCATCACATCAACACAGCTTTTAAAGCCCCCAAGGGATGGTGGCTCCACCACTGCCCTGGGCAGCCTGACAACCCTTTGGGTGAAGAAATTCCTTGTAATACCCAATCTAAATCTCCCCTGGCACAACCTGAGGCCACTGTGGTTAGTTTGTAGAACTGGACTGCATTAGTATTATTTCTGGCTGTGTCATGAACTCACTGAATATCTCATACAATTTCCATCTGCCTCTGTTAATTTGCATATTTTATGAGTTGGCATTGTTAGAAAATGTTTTCATAATCCTAGGTAAAATACATTATGTAGTATCAGTGAATACATTTATTAGCTATTTGGCTGTTGTATCTTCAGCTGTGCTATCACCCTGTCTAGCTGAATTTCTTCTAACCAAAGTTATTCGTTTAAACCAAATTACTTTATACATGAGTTTACTATTAATTATAGCCTATTCCAGTACTCAGGAAATGCTGAGAAAAATACATAGTATATTACACATTCACACATGTTTAGGTTTCTTCCATTTCCTTACTTCTCTCGTTTATCACAGTAGGTGTTTTCTTGAAAATACTCCTTGTCCCTAGAGATTGTTGGACTCGTTGTCCTGAGCAGATACTCATTTACTGCTGGCACTTTGTGGGATGGAAAACTTAACACTTACCCAGCACATTGAGGACAAAGTGCTTGCTGGTGTCTCCAGCTTCATTGGATGCCACACAAGTGTATTTGCCCGTGTCGCCGACCTCTGCCTTTACAAAATGAAGGACCATTCCTTGGTTCCTCGATGTCAGGTGAGCTCCGAGGCTTAAAGGCTGCCCGTTTTTAAACCAGGACATGGTGGGGGCAGGAGTGCCATCAGTCAGACACTTCATGGATGCTGAAGTGCCTCTGACTACTGTCACCTCCTCTGTTCCTCCTGCATTATCCAGGCTTGGTGGCACTGCCAAGAAACAAAGACCTGGTTCATGTAGAGCACAGCCCAGCTGTTAATCCCGGACAAAAAGGAGCTGGGATGCAGCTGCTACCCTTTTGCACTTCCCTACTCACATTCATGCCTAGCACGGGTTAAAATTCACTTAGAAATTATCTATTATTATTCTTTCTGCAAAACCTATGACACATTATGGGTCCCCATTCAAGTAAGGACTCTGCTAGGGTTAAAACACTTCCCACATTGAAAAGTTAATGTTTCCCTAAACAATTACCTATGTAACACTCGTGCCTGCCTGCAACTTTGTGTTGGTGAGAAAAAAACCTGATTATTAGGTTTAGGGAATTAAGAAATAAGATTATTTACATTTCAGAGAAACTCACCAAAAACCTGAAGGTTGTAGTGTTTGTTGTCCACTCCAGCCCTGTTAGATGCTACACAAGTGTACAGACCAGTGTCAGGTATCTGTACTCGGGCAAGCCTACAGAGAAAAGAATTTTAAGTAAGCTGTAAATAGAATACATTATCTTTATTATGGCATGGTTTGGATCGAATTTTATTCTTGCTGCCAAAAAGACTAGCAAAATTATGCTGATACAGCAAAAGAACAGAAAACTCAGCTCGTTAAAACAGATGAAAACCAACCTGAGAATTTGCCCAGCTGACAGCAACCTGATTTGGGAGGAGACAGACAGAGGAAGGCCATTCTTTAGCCAGTTTATCTGTGGTGGTGGGGTTCCAGTAGCAGTACATTCAATATTTAGGGAGGTGTCCAAAAGGGCAGTGAGGTCCTCTGGTTCATCTTTATGATTGGCTATTGCTGGAGGAACTATATTTTGTAAATGTTGAAAAGGAAGATATTAAAACTGGCTCTTAGAACCATGCCATGCGTGTTCCCTTGCAGGCAAATCCTGCACTCCAGGCCTCACAGGCAACTCAATATGAAAATCCTCGTTTTTTAAAAGGGTAAACCCTCTAACAATATTAAACACAAGTTATCCAGTTACATATTCCAAATCAGATGCACGTTAGAATGGTTGTACAATTATGTCTTTGATTTGTCAGGCTGTGGCAGAGCCTGAAGCTCAAGAGGACAGAATGACAATGCAGCAAGGAGCAAGTAGCCAGGCCTGAGAGAGGATGGGCTGAAATGCTTCAGGGCCAGATGGGACTTGGCAGTTTGGTGCCACTCAGACTGACCTCCTTGAATACATCTTCAATCAAGTGAAAGCTAGAATCATGCAGGGGGAAGTTAGTGTATTAACTTCTAGATGCATATGCTGACTTAATTTTTAAATACAGAAAATTTCAAAATGCCTAATTAAATATTTGAGCTATTATTCTAACAGAACTGCCTTTGGGCTTTTTGGTTTTATAGCTTAGTTTATAGCCTTGGTCTCAGGGGCAAGCAGGGCCTCACTATGTAGAGAAGGCCCAGCCATGTGCAGCTCCAGGCTTGAGATCCCACGCACCATGACAGTTGCCTAGATATGACCGTTAAAGTTGGTTGGTTATGGCTTGAACTTCAACCAAGACAAACTGATCAAAAAAGCCTCCACTTCTCTGCAGTGCAAAGCTGTGATGTGGTCATTCAGTATTGTTATTTATTACAGCAAAGGTCTTCTTTTGCTACTCTGTGCTCAAATTCCAACTGGTTTGGAGTCTGTGTAACTGGGACAGATCCTTGCACTGCTGTGAAATGCTGCCCACACAGAACCCTTTGCTCTTTCACACTACTCACTGCACTTCATTAACACACTTCACAAACTGAAGTGTCTCTACACTGCTAAAGAGGAGTAATGCTCATCTTCTGCACATCAAACTGTGCAAGATACACTTCTTCTTTTAAGCTCCAACTAAACTCTTTGTCACACAAGGGGGGGACCCCTAACTGTTAGTTCCCTACCTTCTACTCTGGTTTAAACTGATGTACTTAGATTGGAATTAGTGAAGATAAACTAATGCAACAAAAAGCAGTATCACAGTAAAACAGCCCCAAGTGTATCTTTCTCTACAAGAAATAAAAACCCATCACAAACAGAATTCCTCTATCATGAAATACACCAAAAGAATCAATTTCTCTTTCTCCCCAAAGACCCTGAACAGCAACATCAGTCGTTTTGCCATTGACAGAGCACCCTGAGCAATATACTGGGATATCTACAGTACATGGAATGAGAAACACATGCATGTAGTGCTGCTCTGAAGCCAGCCTCATTCCTTGGCCTTCCCATGGGAGTGCTTTCAAAGACAGCCTTACAGACTAGATTTCAGTTTTGCATCTGTGAAAACTCACCATATACATTCAAGTTGAAAATTCTGTCTTCCTCTCCTGCAGGGTTAGTAGCCACACAAGTGTATTTTCCTGTATCAGAACTGAGAGCTCTGAAAATGTTTAATGTGCTGCCATCTGGAGTTACTCTGCAAGGAAGGTCATAAAACACAGTGAGCTTGTTTACCTGTTCCTATGACCCAGCAAATAAACATTCAGTTTTGTACATTTAAATCAACTACCTCTATCCTTTTGGGAATTTGGTGAAAGAACCACTGTTTTTTGGCAACACATTATTATTATTATTATTATTATTATCATTATTATCATTATCATTATTATTATTATTATTATTAGAGATAGGCTAGGAAGTTTTTTCCTAGAGATGTCCTGTTTAACCTTGTATTAAGATTTGATTCCAACTATGCTTTTGAAGACCCCTTAAGGAAAAGGATCAAGAGTAGCATGTTTCCACCTCTCAGATTTTTGCCTTCCAAAGGAACTCAATGAAACTTATTGACCTTAATAAACTTCAGTGAACTTAATGAACTTTAACAGATCTTATTACCTGAGAAAGGAATAAGTATTATACACAGATCTTTGTACAAAAAAAACCCACCAAAAAACTAAATTATCAAAGTAGTAACAAAGTGCACTGGGTTTATAGAAGCTATAATGCTCTTAACTTGTTTAAGCTAAGTCTCACCCCCTTCTGAGGGCCCTCTGAGGCTTAAAATGATACAAGCAGAGACTGCAGTGTCTGCTTATTTTTGCTTGCCTTATTCTCATTATTATTATTATCATTATTATTATTATTATTATTAGAGATAGGCTAGGAAGTTTTTTCCTAGAGATGTCCTGTTTAACCTTGTATTAAGATTTGATTCCAACTATGCTTTTGAAGACCCCTTAAGGAAAAGGATCAAGAGTAGCATGTTTCCACCTCTCAGATTTTTGCCTTCCAAAGGAACTCAATGAAACTTATTGACCTTAATAAACTTCAGTGAACTTAATGAACTTTAACAGATCTTATTACCTGAGAAAGGAATAAGTATTATACACAGATCTTTGTACAAAAAAAACCCACCAAAAAACTAAATTATCAAAGTAGTAACAAAGTGCACTGGGTTTATAGAAGCTATAATGCTCTTAACTTGTTTAAGCTAAGTCTCACCCCCTTCTGAGGGCCCTCTGAGGCTTAAAATGATACAAGCAGAGACTGCAGTGTCTGCTTATTTTTGCTTGCCTTATTCTTTGTAAATCATCACTGGCAACTGGCTTTCCATCTTTGAGCCACTGCAGACGAGGCGTGGGCACTCCGTCGGCGTGGCAGACAAGCTGGATGCTCTCCCCCAGGAGGACACTGACCTCACTAGGCATTTCAGAGCCAACAATACTAGGAGGAACTGGAAATGCATGATGGAGGAAAGAGAAGATTAATCAGCAAGAAATATAACCTAAAGTATTACAATTTAAGCTGCAGTAGCTCACAAGTACTAGCATTTGTTGCAGCACCTCCATTCAAATCAAGTTTAGAAAGTACATTATTATATTGTTTCTAGAGGGGGTTGTGCTAAGATAAATTCAGAGCTACTTTAATTGTTCCTTAAAACAGCTGATTCGGAAAATCCTAACACACGTATTTTTGCCATTATATTTAATGTCAACAATAATTAAACAATGCTAACACATAAAATAATACTATGGCAAAATCCCATTTCATTAAAGATCCCAGTTCAGTGCCTCTTTAGCTCCTGAGCATGTGCTCAGAGTGCAGCCAGATGCTCTGCTGTGTCAGGACCACCACACTCCTGTGTGCAGCCACACACTTCCTCTGCCCCAAGCACCAGCCATTTGGAGCCTGTCCTCCTAAAGCACACAGATGACAGTCCTGCTATCCAGCAAGTCAAGACTTCCCAGCCCCCTAGCTCTTTTGGAGCATTTCAAGCCCCTTTGGTCACATTTGATCAAACAAGCAGGGTGATACTCAATTCCTAACCTAGCAGAACAAGGGGTTGGCAGGGACAGAGAAACCAGCTCCCTGGAAGAAGGATGGCTATGAGGAAGTTACTAGATCTGTTGGGCTGCTGCTGGCCAGCACACCCACGCCACAGCTGATGCTGCCTCCTCTTCCTCATCCAGCAACTGCTGGCCTGGGAAGGGACGATAGCAGGAAGCCAGAGGTGCCAAAGTCCAGGAGTGTTGTTGGACATGGGAGGGAACAAGCACAATTAATGGGGATGAGGCATTAGGAAGAGAGGAAACCAAAGACAGTTGCAGCACAAGGGTGACAGGCAGTGAGGCAGGAGACAATTCCATACCAAAATAAGGTTTATCATCTGAGTGGATACAAAAAAAAAGGGTAAGAAAATTCTGCCAGGATTTCTTCGCCAACTCCTCCTATTTGCTACGGCAAAAAGACAAGAGGTATCACAGCTTCTGAAACCATGTATGTGTGGTGCTCCACACTCAACCAAGCAATGTAGCTTCAGTGTGCAGCAGGAGGAAGGATTGAAGCAGCAGCAAACACACAGAGCCTCTCCCATTGCTTTCAAGACCTCCTACAATCAGAGGTTAAATTGCTGACTAACAGTTACAATCCTCTAACCTGGCCCAGGTTGCCCAGAGATGCTGTGGCTGCCCCATCCCTAGAAGTGTTCAAGGGTAGGTTGGATGGGGCATGGAGCAACCTGATCTAGTGGGAGGTGTCCCTGCCCATGGCAGGGGGAGGTTGTAGATTATATTTAAGGTCCCTTCCAACCCAAACCATTTTATGATTTTTCCACATTGGTTGCAGATAATATAAGTGATGGTTCAAATTCTCCACTTCTCTACTTGTGTCTATTATCTCAGGGTTCCTCCTACAGACCCAGCATGGCACTCAACCATTAACCACTTCTGCTCACTGTACCCTTGTGCCTTACCTTGGATAGAAAGCTTATAACTTTTCTGAGCTTTTCCCTCAATATTTGAGGCAATACACGTGTAGGTCCCACTGTCTAGAAGCCGAGAGCGAGCAATCTGGAGCTTGCTTCCACCAGACAAAATGTGAACTTCAAGAGAATCAGAGTTTTCTGAAAATACATCAACAAGTTGTCATTCCAAACCAGGTCACAGGGAGAAAATGCACCTTGAGACATTTTTTCATCAAAATTTCAAAGCCCAACAGAACAAAGATTCCAATCAGTTAACAGAGGCTGTCTAGGGAGAGATGAAATAAAAAAGAGAGCAAATAGCACAGTGGTGCCCCAAAAGGGCTGAAAAAGAGTGGAAAGTAGCAGGAGAGAACATTACCTATTGGTTTTCCATTCTTAAGCCACACTAATGTTGGGGGAGGAATCCCAGTAGCATCACACACAAAGGTGACAGGATTGCTGACAGTTTCATTGACCAGCTCTTCTTCGGGGCCTTCTATATCTGGGGGCACTGTAAATTGAATGGAAGCAGGAAGAATGGTTTGGTTACCAAGTATTTTTGCAAACTGTTTTGAACCATCTACTCTACCATGTCTATGGTACTATAATAACTACTGCAGGTAATGCAGAGTATGCTCACCATAAACATTAAGATGGAAATTTTTATCATCTCTCCCTGCAATATTAATGGCTTTGCACACATACTGGCCCGTGTCAGAAACCTAAAACAAAAATGAATTAAGAAAACCTTATTATGGAGTCTTATTTTAATGCTACAGTTGAGAGATATTAACAGCCTTTGCTTCTGCCAGCTCAAGGTGGTTTTCAGAGACAGAAATACATCTCCTCCATACAGCTGGTAGAGCACACCACGGAAGAGCAGAGCAATTGCTTAACAGCAGCAGAGTAGCAGCAGATGCAGCATCCCCAGCCTGGCCTACCTCTGCACCCTTGATTTGCAAGGTCTGCCCATCTGCTAAGACCTCCAGACGCGCCGACTCCGAGATCATGCGCCTGTTCTTGTACCAGGTGATGATGGGCGGGGGAACAGCGTTGGATTCACACTCCAGCACCACCAGGCTGCCCACGCGCACGTTCAGCACCACCAGAGAGCTCCCACTGGGGTCTTTGATGCTTGGGGGCACTGCAGAAGAAGCTCAGAGTTACTTCTGCCTTTCTTCTTTTTGGCATGTGAGAGGGCAGAAAACAACTTCATAAAAATCAATGCGAAATAATGCATCTTCAAAGCAAGAGGTATTACTTCAGAAAAGAGTAAAAAAAACAAAAAACAGACCAAGGACATTCAGGAAACTTTTCTTCTGACTTTCCCCAGCTTGGTTCCTGGCAATACAGGTGTATTCACCCTCATCTGGTAGTTTGGCTCGGGGAATCTGCAGCGTCCGAGCACCTGAGGTAGAGACAGAGGGCTTGAGATTTATTCTGTGGACATTTTATCAATCTCAAAACCTATTTTAAAATCTCAGGTCCAACAGGCTGAGCACTGGCACCAAGCTAGCCTCAGAGTCAAAAAAGCACTATGTTGCCATTGCCTTTTAAGATTTGTTAATCTAAAAAAAAAAAAAAAATCCAGCCAAGAGAACTAAAATTTTAGGGCAAATTCCTTACTGCTGTTAATCAGAAGTTTGGATCAGAAATACTTCTTTTAGTTCTGCTTCTTTCACAGCTGCTAACTGCTGTCTCCTAACACAACTATGCCCTTCCTTGTGTCCCTATCCCATCCTCTGCTCCCCACCCTCACCTGACACCATTCATGAAACCACCCACTGCCTGTGCCTGAGGGAGCTGCACCAGCACTTCAGCAGCCAGGACACCACGACCATGCCCAGGCCTCAGTCTGTGCTGCAAAGCAGGCCCCAGCAGCACCCAGGCAGACCTGAGCCCCACAGCAGGACCTGTACCTGAGAGCCTGGGCTGTGCTCTCCAGCAGGAGCAGAACTGACAGAGACACCCAGGAGCCTGGTCAAGCACAGAGCTTCAAACATTTCAGACAACCTTCAACACAAGGATGCCTGCCTGAGAGGGCCCAGGATTAGTCCAGTTTCCCTCTGAAGTTAGCAGGAAGGTTTTTACTTTTTTCATCCAAGCCAGCAGAGTTTAACTTCGCCTTGCTCCCATTTTCTGACCATTTCTTTGGCAGGTGAGTCAAAGCCACCCAGCCATGATAATACCTGCATGGGAGCTCCTCTGTTTTCTGACTTGCCCTCTAGTCCTTTCCACACAGTGCATGTCAGTGCTTTCAGTCTCAGCCAGGTCTCTTCAGAAGTGAACACACCCAACAGCCAAGAAAATATTTAACACAGTAGGCCAAGCATCTTGTCTTCTCACTGGAGCAATACTAAGACTAACTACACTGGCTCCATAAACAATGGTCATCACCCTTTTCAAGGCAAAACAGACAGAAGTTGAGTCCAAAAGCTGTGGAAATAGCTGAGATTCCTCACCAGGCACAATAAAAGTGTTGGTATTTGAACTGATAGGTTTGCCATTCTTGAGCCAGCTGAGATCAGGAGGTGGGAAGCCAGTGACCTCACAAGTCAGAGAGATGAAATTATTCACTACCACAGTCAGATTCTCAGGATTAGCACCAACAACGCTTGGCGGAACTGCAAAGAGAAGTACACACAGTATCTACCACATCAACAGGCAATACTCCACAAGATCCTGATTTACTAAAATAAAAGATGAATTGCTGAGTTTACCAAAGTGCCAAGCTGCAAAAAAACTTTCACATCCTATGAATGGATCTGCTGCTTTTTGGATGTGTCTGAAAATAGGACTGAAGCCAATCTCATGGCCATTCCTGTACCTGTGAGTCACTAAGGTGATTTCACCTGCAGTCCTTCCATGCTTGGGATTTGGGAATGCTAATTCACCTAGAAAAGATCCTGCACTTCCTGAATATCAATTTTACAAGGCTGTGCTGAGGGTGCATTTGCTGTGTAAGGCATGACCAATTACATGTACCTTATCAGGACATGTAAGATGACCATCTACAATTTTTTCCTGACACTGTATTGCTCTTGCAAAAAGCCCATTTTCTCTTTACAGATAACCAAAAACTGATTCCTCCTGCTGTAGTTCAGAGTTATTTGTTAACCAGACAAACCTGTTGCTTAATAGTGAGCTAAGCAGTTTAAAATTCTGGATTGCAAGCATCACTCTGAGGGGTGCATTTTTAAGCTCACAAGTCCAAGTATTTTTAAATACAAGAATATTTTGACATTTGACCCTTCTACAAGAAGTATTTTAACTGAAATAACTGTAAATCTCTTCCTTTTAATAAACCCCACATTTTAGTTTCCATGTTTTTACAGTGTGGATATATAAAACACTTAAGAGGAAAGCAAAAGCATGTTCTTGGCTCTATTGTGTGGAAAAATCATTCCAAAGAACACATGGAATCCTCTTCTTCAAAGACAGAAATGTTAAAGTGTTTTGGACCATATCCACCAGAAATACTCCAGTTGCTTTCTGTCATTTGAATGACACAAACCAGTCATTAACCCAAGTTTATTGCTCCTCTGTGGACACTGCAGAAACAAGAGGACTCAATGGAAATGGGTGAATTCAGTCCATATTTTTCAACTTGGAATAACTGAAGGTTATTTCCCTGATAACGAGTGTAAAATGGTTCACTAGAATAAATGGAGAATTCTGATCCGATGACATTTTATAGTTATTTACATTTATTTACTTTCACAGTTACTTTCCCACAGATGTGATTATTGGCAGCAAGAGACAGTGAGCAAGTGAATATACAAGGCCAAATTTGAGCTGTCTTTTAATGAATTCTGCTTGAACTATATAAATGGTACATTTCAAATTCTGCAGCCTTCATGGCTTGTGCAAACCACTCACAAACGTACCACACAGAGGCAGCAAGGGGCTCAGCTCTGCTGTTAGCCTGAAAATTACCAGTTTATCCTATATTAAGGCTAGAGGTTGAGATTTTTACAACTGGATTTATTAAAGCAGTTCCTTTAGAAACATACAAAAATGCTGGAAAATAACCTTTTTTTTTTTTTTTAACATTGTCAAAATAAAGATCAGGCAGCTTAGAGATAATGTATTTTCATCAGTGCTTCACCCTGGGTGGTCCTTTCCTGAACAGCTATAGACTAATTTTTCAAATGAAACTGCACTCAGAGATTAATAAACCTAAACTGGTAGTACTGTTGAGCAAGAATTGAAGCTTCATGCAAGTATTTATTTTAAAATAATAGTATTAGACTACAGTCACTATAAACAAATCTTCTAGAGACAAGCAGCTTAAATTAAACCAGAAATGTCAAGAAAAGAGAAATATTTTGATTTTAAACCAGAACTCAAACACCAGGAAATCTGGATAGACTCCACTGAAAGAAAGTAACTTCTCAGAGAGTGTTTCCAGGGCACATTCTTTCCATGGCAACACTGATTTTGGCTAATTGTATTCCTGAGTGAAAAAAAAGCACTATACATTTCTTCCATTTAGTATGTAAATTTGCTGCATGTGTGAATGAGAAGAAACCCTGTTTCTCCTGTACCTAATAACCTGAGACATCAGATTGCTGTGAAGCAAGAGAGAGAAAACAGCTCTTCTTCCTAGGATGTGATACAGAAGCAGAATAGCTCTCCAAAAGGGGTGGGAAAGAGGACACTGGTCACATGCAGAAGACTGTGGTGAAAGTCTCCAAATAGTACTGGGAAAGCAGGTAAAGATGTAGCTGCCAGGATTCCTTGGTGGGCTTTAGCATGCAATTGTGCAGCTGATTTTGTGGGACTAATGCTTATTTCATCTTCAATTCAGAATGGAAAGCTGAAAGTGGTCATAGGAAGAGTGGGTAGAAATAAAAAGAGAAGTTAATGTCAACTCTGAAATGTTAATTAGAGCTATCCTGATTTTTGAAGCTATCAGGAGAGGTTAAGGAAGGTGGTACAGAGATTATTTTTTTTTAATAATGGAAAAATATCTGATTTTCTGGGTTGTAATTGTTTCAGACTTGTGATGTCACAGCCCCAAGTTTATTTTAATCCTATTTTAACTCAACAACAAAAAAACCCCTAGAAAGGAAACCTAAAGGAGACATTTTTAAAAGCCAGCTTTTACCATGCCATATCTCTTGCTATCAGTTAGTAACAAACTATTTCAGGGCTTAGCAACACCCACAGCCACTACACAAGGCTCCCTCAGTAATAATTTCCACCTACATGGAACAACCTAAAGACATGGGGCATCACAAGCCATGCTTTGCTAGGCAATTTAAACTTTCATTTCTAGCACATCACAATCTCTTCCCAGTAAGAAAACTTACTTGCATAGAGCTAAGCAAGTGTCTAAGCTCTCTGCTAAAATTAACACAGTCAAGCTAAACAACCAGTTGAAAGACAACCAGAAAATTCTGGGTTATTGCACTTACCATGAACATTTAGATTAAAATACTTTTTGGCACTTCCAGCTATGTTCTCCACAATGCAGACATACCTGCCAGTATCTGTTATTTGGGAATTCAAAATCTAAGGAACAGAAACAAGACCATTGTTGAGCTAAGATTTAAGGCAACTTGCTGTTCAAATATCAAGCTTTGGTGTCTCCCCAGTGATCCCAAGGTCTCTGAGGCCTGTGAGTCTGCAGGTTTGATTTGGTTTGATTTGTTTTCCTGGTAATGCCCTCACAATGTCATGAAGCATCCAACCTTCCACTGATGCTGCTCCTTTCAGAATCTATTATGCATCTCAGACCTCCACAGGTCACAGTACCTTTCACATTAAATTGATTCAAATTGAACAACAAAACAACTACTCATAAAATATTTTAAATAAAAATCTTTACATTCTATATGGGGTTTATATTTTGTTTTATTCTTAGATCATGCTATGAAAATGGAAAGAAGTAAGCTCAGCTCTGTAGCTGTTTATCAGTTTCATCCACTATCATCCACTGGAGGAGGGGATGGGGGTGTTCTTCAGAATTCACTGTTTTCTTTAAATAAAAAAGTACAATTCACAATAATATAAGTCTGCTAGGGCAACCTGGACAAGACTGAAAACTACAAGTTGTTCTCCACTAAAAATCAACACCATTTGAAACCAAGTAATTTCACTGATGTGGTTCATGGCATGATCCCACAAACAGCTGGGTCAGCACAACTGAGGGAACTGAACAGGAGGAGGAAGAAGTAGCTGAGCAACAGGGGACAAGGGACAAAAACTCCACAGGTTTGCACCACATTGTAGGAAAAAAAACCAACACAACAGAATCTCCTACTCAGCAAATCTAAACAGTTTTGTCTTTATGGGCAGCTTGTGTTTGTGATGCTACAAAGCAGTTATTCACCAAGAACTACCTGTAACCTCCTTCCACTGGACAAAAATGTGTGCTTGTCATCTTCTGCTAGGAGGTGGCCATCCTTGTGCCAGGCAATCCTGGGAGAAGGGCTGCCACTCACAACACACTCCATCACTGCAACCTTGTTCACAAGCACAGTCACTTCTTCAGGCTGGTCACCATCAGCTCCACTGATGGATGGTGGCACTACAAAAGAGCAGAACATGAGAGGAATACTGTGGCTTAGTACCTGCCAGTGCCATCAAGAAGAAAAGGTGAAAAGCCATTTTTTAGCTATTCCATCGTCACAGAATCACAGAATTATTGAGGCTGGAAAAGACCTGTGAGACCATGAAGTACAGCCTATGACTAAACACGACCACATCAGCTAGACCATGGCACTAAGTGCCACATCCAGTCTTTCCTTAAAGACTGGGATGGACTCGCCAGGGATGGCGAGTTCACCACTTCCCTGGGCAGTCCATTCCAATGTCTGATCACCCTTTCCATGAGGAAGTGCTTCCTGACATCAAACCTGAACCTTCCCTGGTGCAGCTTCATGCCAGGCCCCCTTGTCCTGTCACTGGTTGCCTGGGAGAAGAGCCCAGCCCCTCCTGACCACAACCTCCCTTCAGGTAGTCATCAAGAATGATAAAGTCCCCCTAGAGTCTCCTCCAGGGTAAACAACCCCAGCTCCCTCAGCCTCTCCTCTCCTCAGCCTTTCCCTCTAGTCCCTTCACCAGCCTCATTGCTCTCCTCTGGACCTGCTCCAGCACCTCAGTATCTTTCTTGCCCAGAACTGCACCCAGAACTCAAGGTGAGGCCTCCCCAGTGCTGAGCACAGATGGAGAATCACCTTCCTGCTCCTGCCAGCCACACTATTCCTGATGCAAGCCAGATGCCATTGGCCTTCTGGGCCACCTGGGCACACTGCTGGCTCATGTTGAACTGGTTGTCAACCAGTACTCCCAAGGATCATGTTTTTTGCTGCCAGAAAAAAAACCCAACCAAAAACAGAAGAGGACTTTCAAGGCAAGACCTCTTCCTAACAACAAATCAGTGTTTTCAGTGTTAGATACAGAAATAGAGGTAGAGAAATGTTTCCCCAGGGCATAAACCTTCAACACACAATGGAAGCAGCCTACTAAAGCTTTCTGTGCAATGTTTGTTAACAGACCATACAAAAAGGGCTCTTCAGCCTTTCAGTGGTTGGTCTAAATCATCAATTCTCTTAAGGCTTTAAATGTTTTGCAGGTATTTTAGAAAATTATGACCAAAAGAAGGAGAGAGAAAAGTCTAATAGCTCAGAATTTTTAAGTGGAAGCTGGACAGGGAACAAGAGATACCAAGATAAAGCCTGGATTTCCACATACGCTTTCCTTTCTGGTGAAGTTATCTGGATGATACAACTGAGCTCCTACAACAATAGCCTAAAACATACTAACAACATTAACACCATTTTCATGCACTTCCCTACACTTCTGCAAAACTCCAGCACCTTCTGTAAGCACAGCCATTTCGTAGCTTACAAACATGCAGAATTTATAAACTCCAGGTACATCTGGACTACAGTGCTTCCTCAGTTTCTTTTCCTGTCATGAAAAAGGAGGAGGAAAGCAGGAGAGCTCACAGAGCACACGGACGTCGTACTGAATGGAATCCTCCCCGGCTTCGTTGACTGCCACACACATGTACCTCCCAGCATCTTCAGCCTGTGCCCGCGGGATCTGCAACACTCTGCCTCCTGCAAGCAAAGCACAGGCAAGATTTAACTGCAACATCCAGCAGTTTTCATCATTTCCAGACCATATTTCACTAGAGACCTGAGCAAGCAAATTTATGAATGGTCACCATTTGTTCTCAATTAGAAGTAACTGAAGACTTTTATTTCCTTGCTACTTTTTCTACTGGCAGATACTTGGAATTCAGCAATGTTCATAATGAAATCTTAGAAGAGAGTAATTAATTCCACAGAAAGGATTAATGCTCTTCAGCAATATGCAGCCAGACATTATTCTTCCATCAAAACAGAAATATTCCTCAGCGAGGTGACAGAGAACTTACATGCAAAAGGAACATTCTGGTAAAGCTGTGCCAAACTGGAAATCATTCACCTCTGAAGCTCATAGGTGCACAAGATATTCGCTTTTCACTCTACTCTTTTAAAGCATAGCCACACAAATAGCTCCAGAAAAGACAGGACACAAGGAACACACTTTGGGAGTAGCTGTCATTGGTCACCCAACAGAAGAGCAATAGGTAGAAGATGTTACTCCCACCACTGCCCTTCTCTATCTGCACCAGCCCAAAGCATCCTCTGGGCAGAAAGGCTCCCTTCTAGCCTCTCAGTACTGTAAGCACCTCTCTCCCTTTCCTATATGAGAGATTGACTCATGGCCATTTTCCTGCTGGAAACACTATTTCCATGCCTCACTCCCTGTGTAAGAGGCTTTTCTACTCCAATTCTGATTGTGCCAAACTACAAATAACAGGGAAATAAACCAGGAACACATCAGAAAGAAGGTGTCCTTGTTGTATTTTATTTTTCAACACATCACATGAAAGTTAAATGGCAATACTGACACCATCTTAGGGACTATTTTCTAAATGAAAGAAGAAAACAGCTTAAATTCAAGGATTGGAGAGCAACACTTCCAGCCAAGGAAGTCTGAAAAGAACATTAATGCAGTGTTTTAAAGGGGAAATGTTCATTACCACAAGAATTCTAGCATTAAGATGATTTTTTAAGGTCAGAGAGCGACATTTTAATACTCACCTGGTAATATGAGTACTTTATCACTAGAGCTCAGGGGAAAGCCATCTTTATACCACGTAAGAACTGGAGGAGGAACAGCATTGGTCTCACAGTACAGAGAAAGGGGATTGTTCACAATCACATCTTTGCTTTCTCCAGCTCTCCCTGCATCCACTGTGTTACCAGCTTCCCATTCCTTGTAAGGCTTTTGGAAAATAGGAGGAACTGCAGCCAAGGAGGGGAAAACATGAGAATTCTACAGCAGAAATAGTTTAAAATTAATGTGAAGATACTGTAATTGTTGAATAGCAGCAACAAAAACTAAGTGTATTAAATTGACACCTCTTTCCAGTTTAGATTAGCCAGGAAAATTCTAGTTCTTTCCATTGGAATGAACAACTGAGCAATCAACTGAGTATTTTCTGAAGACCAATAAATAACAGTGTAAGATGCCCTGATAACAAAACCCAGGAGGTCTCAATCAACAATCATACTCAAATAGTAAGTTATCTGGTTTTACCTGAGTTCTAATTTTGCTTAAATTTTCAGAAATTAGTAAGTATTGTTTCCAGGTATTTACACACAGCGTGCAGGCCAACAGGAAGCTAATGTCTGGAGTAAGTACTACTCAATACAGATAAACAGAATGTGATGCCCTAGCTTAAGCAGAATTAAAACATTTTCCTGTAGTTTACAGGAAGACCAGAGTTGCTATGACATTCTGCTGACTTGAGAAACACTGCATAAGTCATATGCAATAATCAAATACTGTCTTTCTTAAAAAGGAACAAAATACATATAAATTAAAGATCACTCAAAACACAAAAGCACTGGATTACACCAAGCATGTACAACGGACACAAAATTAAAAGAATTCCAACATCCATTAGAAAAGGAGGCTACCAGAAAAATTGCATTATCTGAACTCAATTTACCTTGTATATTTACATCAAATTCCAGTTCATCCTCTCCAGCAATGTTGGATGCCAGACAACTGTAGCGACCGGTGTCTGACACTTGGGCCTCCTTAATCTGCAGAGCTCGGCCACCAGCTTGGACAAGGACATGCTCATCAGGGCTGAGGGGCTGTAAGGTAATTTTACAGGGAAATTAACACTTGGCACTAGAACCAGCCCTATTTGTGGAGCCAACACCACATCACCTCTCTTTTGGTCACATTTGGTTTGTTTCAAAGCCCTCCCTAAGGCGGCACGTGGGAGCAAGGGCATGTTTTGGTATTTCCTCTGCTTTGACACCCCCAAGGACACAGTAGCTTTTGTTTGTGCTGCCAGCCAGACCCTGCTTCCCACCCCCACAGAGCAGGCAGCTGCTCAGGACACCAAATATTGAGGGTCATCACTTCAGACACGGTCCTGGGACAGCAGCTGTGGCTGCAGGTGCTGCAGCCCAGCTCTCCTCTCCTCCAAAAAAACCCTGAGTGAACTTGATCAAGCTCCAGCTCCTCGGGACAGGTCTTCAAGTTCCTGGAAACACTTTTATGTTTACAGTTGTCATAATCTCTGCACGTTCACCTTTCTGATCCTGGTCTCCTAAGAGGATGGGGTGTTACATCACCCTGAAGCCCAGCTGCAAGCTGCTGCTGAACAGAGCAGTGCCATCCCATCAGGGAAGGGCTCTCATGACATTAGGTTAAATCGGGCTGATTCAATCCCTGAACTCACTGGTCCAGCCAATGAGCTGAGGGAAAACCTACACGTGTAAAACTACCCGTTTTCCATGAGGTGAACAATGCAATCCAACTCATACTACAACCATGACCCCTCAGATCTGCTGCCCGGTGAGGGTGTGGTGTGAACATAAACTTCATGCAGCAGCAACACACAGACATACAGGATTAGATGTTGCTGTCCTCAGAATTTACAACCCATCTGACAGCAGACACTTGTCTAACCTGTATCTCTCAATAACGAAAACAGATCCCATTAGGGAGTCAGCACTAAACTCCTGACCTGCAGCGGACAATTACTTCAGTCCACGGATGTGAGTGAAAGCCGTTTGTCCAGAAGCAACCTAAGACAAAGCTGCTGCCCTGACAGCAGCAGCAAGCTGCTCGCAGTCACCCTCTGTCTTTGGGGACCTCTAAACTCTCCCCAGCATCACTCTTCCTTATCAGTACCCCCAGGGGGTCCTAGTACTACAGCCACACCACAGCCAGACAGAGGGTGTGCACACAGGGACTCCAGGCTGCTTCGGCATGCTTGGTAGCTCCAGCAGGAGCTGCTTCAGCTGCAGAGGTGCAGCAGCCTGCCACACAAGTGCCCTGCCAAGAACAGCCGAAGCAAGAGATGTTCCATTCTCCCTCCTTGCACAAGAGTTGCACCATTTCCTTTTCAGCTAAACCAGCCCCCAGCAGACTGCACATCAGTATAACTCTGTGGCATCGCCCTTCCAAACTGCTTCTCCTCCAGACTGATGCTGTTGAGAAGACTCCATGTGGCAGGAATCATGCCTCCTTCCCCCCTGCAGAGGGTCCAGATGCTTCTGTGGCTTTGTGATTCTGCCAGAGCTGAGTGGGAGGCTCTCTGCAACTTCTGCAAGGGCAGCACTCAAGGACACCAAGCATGAGGCCATTCTGTAACAGGGCCTTTGGGGACTATTAATGGCAAAGGGACATGTGGCCATACCAGGGGACACCACTGGAGGAAGGGCCCTCTCCCTTCCAGCACAGACCAGCCCTGGGAACTCCAGCATTGATGTCTCACTAGCACTGCACCCATAAAAAAGCAAGGGTGTCCATTTGCAGAGCTCTGGCCAACAGCAAACATCCCAGGATGCAGGAGGGGTTATCTTGCCAGCAGGACAGTGGGAAAATGACTTCCCACTGACTTCAGCCCTGCAAGCGACCCTGGAACGCTGCATGAACACTCATATAAGCTACAATAGTACCTAGAAAGGTTAGACCAGATGATCCTTGAGGTCCCTTCCAACCTGGCATTCTATGATTCTATGATTAACAGTGAGAGTGAATATGCAGCTGTTTCTGTGCAAAATCCACCCATCAGAAGGAATTAATGTTGTGACTGGCCTGTCCATCCTTGTACCAGCTGATGGCAGCAGCAGGAACGGCGTGGGCTTCACACTCCAGGGTAAGGCTGTGGTTTACTTTGATCTTCACTTCCTTAGGGGACAGACCCATCCCTGAGATACCCCCTTTCTTAATGGTGGGTGGAACTGCACAAAAACAAAGGGAGCAAGAGGGACTCTCATCACTTGCTGTCTTATTAACAAATTTAACCAGACTTACTAACAAAATTAACTGGACAAAGGGAAAACCTGGAGGATAACCTCAGGGAAAGCAAATACATCCCCCCTATAATCTGCCTCTTTCCCAAAGCTGAATTTTTATTTTTATATACCTATATATATATATATGCATTTTCAACTATTTTTACTATATGCATTATATATCAAAACATATGAAGCTATTCAACAGTTTTAGACGTGCAAAACTGACTACAGCCTTACCCAGCAACAGTTCTTGATTATGTGTTTGCCTTGAATTCTACAAAGTTCAGTGTAGTGGAGTAATTAAAAAGGGTTTTAATGGAAACAAAGAGAAACATATGTTTGAAGTCCACACTCAGAGTGACTGGTCAAAGCTCAAAATTTCCATTCTGCTGAAACCCCAGTGTTGCAAAATCTGGTTTCCTTCTGAATCAGCATGAAAACAGAATATTTCAAAACTCTTCAGCTACCCCCCACCCTGGTCTCATAATATTATTTTTTTTTAATGCTTTCAAAGCATTTTCCATTATTTTTTCAATGGGAAATTTTAAATTATCCCTAATGCCTACAGTGCCTCAATAACTGACAGTTGCAATGGCACTTAGGGGTGTGGGGCTTTATGTGCTACATAGTCACACTTCCATAATGAACTCTTTTGTCATCTTCTCATTATTCTGAATCCAATGGGGCCTTACTAGGGACTCAGTGTAATTAAAATAACAGCATGGTTACTGGGAGGATGAAAACCAAACTCCAATTCATACCAGGAAATATAACAACAACAAAAAGAAAGACAAAAAATCATGCTTGACTGAGTCCATAATGAAGAGTTTCAGCATTAAAATAGAATATTAGGCACAGATGCTCAAAGAACAATGTGCCTTGAGTGGGAAAGCTTTTGTGCATATGGTGTTTTATGGAAGGATATAAAAATAGTATCCTCCTGTTTCACCTTGCTCAAGGAAAAGTCTCCCATTAGATGTTACACGTCCCTTCCTCTCCTTTTTTCTAAAACAGTTTCTTTGCTCACAATATTCTCTGCTCACATGTCCCACTGTGTTGGGTTTGTCTGATTTGAAAATTCTCACCAATAACATTTCAGAAGAAACGCATGATCAATGTTTCTTAAATGTCTTCCCCTGGGTGACACAAAGATTTTTAGCCCAACAGCAGCACTTGAAAAGGATGCAACAGCAAACTTTTCCAGGGTCTTTCCTCAACAGCTGCCATGAACTAATGAAGATGTTTGCTAAACAAAGCCACTAACAGCAACCCTGGTGTCCACCAGGGTAGGTAACACTGCAAAGGGAAAAAAAACAAAGAATGAAAAAATCCCCAAATGATTGGAAGTATTTCCTTACTGTAGACTTTCACTTCATAGTGTTTCAAAGTTTCCCCAGCCTCATTTGTGGCTATACAGGTGTATCTGCCAGCATTGTCCTCCTGCGCGTTCAGAATCTGCAGAGTTCGACCACCTGCCAAAAGACACAATTCTTTAATCACATCCATGTTGTACTCTTGCTTCCCATTTTTTTTGAATGGTTTCTGCAGGGTACATTTCATCCTTTGGTCCAAGTTCTGCCCTTAGAAAAACTGACTGCTTCCCACCATGTATCCTGAGTAACAAATGAGCACACAATGTGTGGCAGGGCTTTGGATCACAGATCCTGTCACTTACAGATTCTCAAAAGATTTGTTAATATAGTTCTGTACAAGAAATTTCTTTAAGATGTTTCAATAAGAAGTGGTTAAGGTTTCTGTGCTTCATTCACAGAAAAAGTGAAAGGCAGAATAATGGGTGAGGCTGAGCAAAAAAAAGCCTATTCAGCATCCAGGAGTGGATGGAAGCCTCCAAATGGCCTTTTGGTTTCAGCGCAGCGTTGGGAGGAAAGAACGGATGGAGGCAACAGCCACAACGTGAGGAGAGTAAACATGAATGAGTCAGTAAGATTTAAAACTTCAGGTGACCTCTACAGCTTTGACATGCTTCAGTTTCTTTCCCATAGCATCCTGTTTATTTATGATTTATATTGTCTGCCTTCTCAGTAGTGAGCCACTATTTACTTTGGCTGCAGCTCTTTTCAGACAGCATTCCTAGATGTTGTCCCCCCATGTAGGAATCCAACTCCTCACTATCCATATCGACTCATGCTTCCTCTGAACACTTGCAGTTAACAATGCTGAAGTACTTGTTCATCTACAGCACTTCATGCTACCAGGGAAGCCTGTTCCCATTTCCCACCTCCACACATGTGGCAGGTAAGAGTTACTCCACAAATTAAAAATGGCAAACTACTAACAACCTAGAAAAATGCCACCTCACTCTTACTACTATCGTTGCTTATATCTCTTTCCATCTAATTTCCATACTTAATTTCAAGTTCCTTACATACATTATCAACCCAAATGAACTTGTTTGCCATCATTTAGCTTTATGGAACAAAAGGATAAATATCCAAATACAAATAAAATACAAGTTAATCATCAGTTAACTGTGAAGCACTTAGAAAATACTGGAATGGGAAATGCTACAAAAGTACAAACATTGCACTCAATAGAAATACACCCTTTGGTTTACAAAAAAATAAATCTGCAACAGGAAACAAAATGCTGAAAGAATTAAGTGTTATGTTACTTCTCAATAGCAATGGAAAAAATGTACCTGGCAAAATGCGGATGTTGCTGTTTGACTCTAAAAGATTACCATCTTTCAGCCAGGTGATTGTAGCTGGAGGGTATGAGTAAGCCTCACACACCAAGGATGTTGGGCTGTTGAGGATTACAGTGACATCTTCTGCCTTTCCCTGGCTGTCTGCACCCACAATGGTTGGAGACACTGTGAACAACAAAATCATTAACCAGAGCAAGAACCTCTATGAAAACTCTGTTTTCTATTCTCTGTTCAGTCTAGGAATCTGGTTGCAGCCTTGAGGAAGGCATTCCTATGAGGTGCACTGAAACCCAGAGGCAAACCACATTCATCTGGCTTTATCCTTTGTCCTGCAGTCAAGGGCTGGTGGACTCCATCCCCCCTGAGCCTTTGTCAAGTGCAGGTC